ACCAGTCAGATCTGATTTGACGGTACAAGCGCGCTTGCGCGCACACACACACACACACACACAAAAAAAAAAAAAAAAAAAAAAAAAAAAAAAAAGAATTTGTCAAACACCATATATCAAGATATTATGCTGAATGATGTCACAAAATGTCAAATTTGTATGAATTCATTCCTGCTAAAAGCTAAAAAGGTTCCACAAACAGAAAGAATATTTTTCGGTAGCTATGATGGAAGGAGGACAGACAGGAGTAAAATACAGTAAGGGGATGATCAGTGTTCTATCATTAAAGAAAAGAGACACAGAGGTATTCAAAAAATACAATCAACAAGAGTAAACATACTCAATTCTGAGTAACTAGCAATAATAAACATTAATCTACAAGCAGATATACAGGCAGACAGCCAAGACAAATCAAAATGGGCAGGTGAAAAGGACTATAACCAAGAGCATATATAGCTTTGGCAGATGATATTTCTATAATCATATTGTTGTTGTGTACCAGAGAGTCTGAACTAACCCATAGTTGACCCTCCAGTGAGTTTTCAGAGGCAGTTAATTGCACAAGAGGAGTAGACTGTTCATCCTTCTTCTGCAGTGCAGCTGGTGGCCCCAAACCGTGTGCCTTTCGAAACTGCAGTGCAGCCTCTTGCCACTAGGCCATCAGATCTCCCATTAGTATACATTATAAATATATTCAGTATATAGCAGAGCTAACAGGTGGAAAATCTATGTAAGCTTCTTAATCATAATTATAATCCTGAGGGAATGAGTTTGTGGGTTTCTGGGGCCTCAGCACTAATGATTCAGGGGGGCATCAAGTCCAGTTGGTATAGCTCACTAAGACAATAGTTACATCTGTTTTGGTGAGGAGTGATTCGGACTTAAAAACCTGTAAATATTCATGAAAGCTGCAACTATTGGTCTCTCTCTGCCGAAACAATGAAGGGGGAAGAAAAAAAAAAGATGTATACATACAATCAGTCCAAAGGACTACTGTACCTTGTGAACCTCAACCTTGAGCCCAGAACAACTATGATGCCCAGCTTCAACTGCTGACTACTTTAAAAGGGATCATAGTAGAAGATACTGGATAGAGAGAAAATGTTGAGCAAAATTAAAAGCTATAAAAATGGCTACACTTATTAGTTCAAAGGAGACAGGTGGAATCCTCACAACTATGGTTTTTAATCACTTTTTGAACGTGGAACTAAATTCATCCCTGTGGCTCAGCTTTCAGCCAAACAACAAAGAGGCCTACAAAGTGACAAACGCCATCAAGGAGGCCCCCTGCTACCTTGAATGACTGACCACTTAAGATCAAACGGAGAGAGCTCTGGTGGCTTTGTGGCAAGAAGCTGTGCTACAATCCTGAAGGCACATGGCAATCCTGAAGGCGTGTGATTTGAATCCATCAGATGATCTACTGGATAAGGAGGGGCAATCTCCTCCTGTCCTAGCTGGATCCGAATCGATAGTATACAAGGAAAAAAAAAATAAATAAAAGATCAAGCGGGCAGCATTTCCCTGGGATACAGCTCAGACGGCAGGAACAGGTAGGATAGAACGATTAATGGAAACTAGAAGCACCAGGTGGAAGTAGGAATAGTCCAGATCCATTGCGGGTATTATATTTAATAAAACAAAATATGTATGAATGGTTTAATGGAAAAATCCATTTTCTTTGCAATATTTCACTCAAATCACAATAAAAGTAGACTACTATGACTTCAGCTATGAATTAATATAGAAATCTCTACTAAAACTTATAGTAGTATGTTTTTATGGGGTATATTGTAAATTCTTTTTAACCAGTTAGTAAATTCTTTTCAAACTACTGTAAGTCAGGTGGATTCCCCCTCCCACATAATTTTAAAAAGAAAATATAAAAGTAACAGTATTTATTGTCAGTAGTGGGAAACAAGCCACATTTTTCCTCCTCCCTTTTATCTATTTTTCTAATTTCCAGTATTGCTGCAATAGTTCTAATAATGCTTCTTACTTTATGAACATCTTGCTTCAATTAAAGATTTGTGTTTCAAGGTTACATACCAAGATAATGATTTGAAATATTTAATTACTTAAATATTAAAAATATGTGTATATTCAACTTTTTATTTAGGCTCATTATTAAGTCTTTAACATTTTTAATTTAAATGCGATCAAAATTATGACTTTCATAGAAAAAAGAAGTATTTTAGAGTGAGTGCTAACATATTTGGAAAGACAAAAATTGCGCTCTAATAGGCTTTAACTTCATAATCAAGATGTCTAAAATCTGCACAGCAACATAAAGTAGCAGTGGTTTCCAAATTAACAAATTCACAACATAAGGCAGTTGAATTGTTGAGAAACTTTTTAGAACTCTTCATTATTTTATTTTTTAAAAAAAATCATCTTTATTTTAG